CTGCCCACATGGGAGCCATCTTCCCTTCCCCCCAACCACTCGCCAGCTGAGACTCACTGATGTTTGCTTGTCCACCTCTGCCCAGAAACAGCGAGCAGAGAGCATGCAAGATGCTTGCCCCGCACAGACCCCGAGGTGCTTATGATTCCAGCGCATTGGAAATAATCGGCAGTCTCAAGAAGTGGAGTGAGCTTCCTCTAGTTCCACAAAGCCCCGGCAAGCTTGGAACATCGTCTCCCACACACTCAGATGGGAGCTACCGTCTTTTAGTGAATAGACCCCGCACCCGAATATACCCCGCACCCAAATATACCCCGCACCCAAATATACCCCGCACCCAAATATACCCCGCACCCAAATATACCCCGCACCCAAATATACCCCGCACCCAAATATACCCCGCACCCAAATATACCCCGCACCCAAATATACCCCGCACCCAAATATACCCCGCACCCAAATATACCCCGCACCCGGGGTTGCGGGGTTTGTAAAAACGAATATAACCTGCGGGGTATATTCGCTAAAATACGGTACTAGCCATGATATAACCTGCGGGTTATATTCGCTAAAATACGGTACTAGCCATGATATAACCTGCGGGTTATATTCGCTAAAATACGGTACTAGCCATGATATAACCTGCGGGTTATATTCGCTAAAATACGGTACTAGCCATGATATAACCTGCGGGTTATATTCGCTAAAATACGGTACTAGCCATGATATAACCTGCGGGTTATATTCGCTAAAATACGGTACTAGCCATGATATAACCTGCGGGTTATATTCGCTAAAATACGGTACTAGCCATGATATAACCTGCGGGTTATATTCGCTAAAATACGGTACTAGCCATGATATAACCTGCGGGTTATATTCGCTAAAATACGGTACTAGCCATGATATAACCTGCGGGTTATATTCGCTAAAATACGGTACTAGCCATGATATAACCTGCGGGGTATATTCGCTAAAATACGGTACTAGCCATGATATAACCTGCGGGTTATATTCGCTAAAATACGGTACTAGCCATGAGTCTGCCATCTAGCTAAGGCAGGTGAGGCTGTAAGCCAGGCTATCCCACAGCCACGCTGGAGAATAGCATTCAAAGCGCTTAAAAAAACCGTAAGCAGCTACTTGAGTTAGGTTAGAGAAATGGCCACGTTTGGAATCAAACCAAGGTCCCATCCAGCAAACGCAGCGGAGGTATTAAGGCCCCAATTCTGACAAATACTTAAGCATGTGCGTCACCGGAATGATTTCAGGGACTATGCTGGGGGCCGGGGGGAGGGGCATCACCAATCTGAAACCGAGACTCACCATTCCCATGCAGCGCACCGTTACAAACGAGCGCTTTGCTGACTCAGGGCCTAAGTGAGGACTCTGGATTCCGGGCAAGTTGTAACAAAGCCAGGCCTGTGGCTAGTCAGGTGGCAGTAAAGGAGGCTGAAATGCAAAACTACTTGGGAATTGACAATGTTATTTAGGAATTACCAAATGAAATCCAGAACCCCACAATGCTATGCAGTTCCAACTGGCCATTTGCATTTAGTGCAAGAGACTAACTTAATTATAATGAATCATTTATCATTATAATGTTTATAATGATAAAGGATCTAGCAAGATGGGAGAATTAGCTTGTGACTGGGACAGACGAAGGCCTTTGAAATTAACAGACCAAAATGGGCTGTTCTACCTTTTTAAAGATCATTAACCATGTCTGGAATGCAATCTAGAAAAGGAAATTTCCTTGTGATGGAAAAGTTTCCCTGAAGACATCGAAACTGGGTAGGTGGCAGAAAACGGTAGTACTCGAGTTTAAGATGGAATAGGTTATACTCATGCATAGCACACATAGCAGGGAAAAAATACACTTGGATAGAAGTTCAGTTCAAGAACCAAACCTCAAGAATTAAAATTCCAGCAGAATGAGACACCAACAACCTAGTGACCCATTCCTCATTCTCCTATTAGCTACAATCCAGGCACGGTAAAAGCTGATCCCAAATCCAAATTAGAGCTATAGACTAAAGCAGACGTCATGAATATTTGGCAACTTAAAAACCAAGCATCTTTTATATTCTGAATTTAAAAATACTAAGTCTCAAACTTCCAGCTTTTTAATAATACCTCATTGAAAAACTGACTACGGTGTAGTCCACTTTTTGGCCTAAACTGTTGAACAGCTGCCTTGATTCATCCCAGAGGTGGCTGCATCACCCCTGAGTGACAGGATCTCTACATAGCCCCTACCTCAGAGGAGTTAAGAGGCTTCTGCAGTCCATATTGGGGTAGTGCTCTTGAGATACTCAGCTGGCAGTGGCTGCATAAGATCTCAGCAATGCTCATGCATAACTGCAATCCCTATTTGTGGAATTCAACCACAGTAGGAGAAACTGCAATTCCACATCCTTTCACCACGCCACTCTCTCTGTTGGCAGCGCAGCATGAGGAGGAAGAAGACAGAGATGTCTCTAAAACCACAATCCCAGATTTAAAGAAGCCCCACATTCATATCCATATTCAAATTCTGCAGCTTGGGACCATCTCTGTGTCCATGCCCGCTGCCTTGGGGGCAGGGGGCAAATTGCAATGGGACCCAGGGCACTGGCTGCCACTGCTACTGTGGCAGGGACGGTGGCCAGAGCCCCCGAGCCCCACTGATTAGCTTCTAGAGCGCCAGAGTTCCACTCCACACCTCTGAGGGCTGGGGAGGGGCACAGTCTGGGCGGTGCCAAAGGCTGACTGCCCTTAGCTCCTCTCCCTCCATCATTGGCCCCACCCCTAAAGGGCACAGAGCCTGCTCCCCACACCTTGCCATGGGACCCCTGATGGATGGTCACCCTGCTGTCTGGATCCATAGAGCTGCATTCAGCTATTTTCACATTTCAGGAAAAGAGGTGAAGAAATTGGAGAAGGT